AAACAAAGATTTCATTATCACTCAAGTACCACTTCATTATCATTATCACTTAAACATTACGACCATTCGACTACCATATTTAATTGTTGATGCAATGTTTGGAATAGAAATCCTTGAAGTATTTGCACCAAAAACGATTAAATCTCAACATTGGATGATTTTGGCATAATTTGATAATGATTAAAGTTTGCTTCTGTTTATATAAAAGATGACTAACTCATCGTCGTCTTGCCAGAAAGAAAAGCTCTTGTACGAGGATGAACTTAAATCGTATGGGATAATCACTCCGTTCATTTGACTTCCTTCTATTTCATTAAGAAGGGATGGCATATATGCTGAAATCATATAATTAGAATTATTTGTTTGTTTAATAGTGGTTTAATGCCATATGATACAAAAATCCATTACAATTTCCTAACCAGTTACGAGTTCCTCGCGGATTTCTAGATGATATTCCTGAGACGTGAACATCAGTGCTGTACAATAACAGTTATCCGAGGCTGTTGTATTGATCGGTTTTTCCCTTCCAAACAAAATAGCTTTATGTGCTTTCCAACGAGGCAGCACGAAGAGTTCTTGGTGCTAAAGTTTGAATTTGCATCATTATGTCGTCAAATCATCGTCTGTTATAAGTTCTTTCTGATTTTTGGTAAATTATTATTCTTGACAGGAACAAAGAATGGAACATGCCTGAAAACCGGTGAAATTCGTCTCATCTATGCCTTTCAAAGCACTCTTTAAATATGGCGGGTTTATTTGACCATCTCGGTAATGCAGTATTCTACGTCGACGGTTTAACTCGTGGTTTATATGCTCAGACATCATGGGGATTGCCCTGTAAAACGATATGGAGAAGAAATCCGTTATTTTCATTATTTACAATCAATTCATTATAGCTTATTAACTCATTTCAATTTCCCTTATCTCCTACAGTTACTAGTAATTGGAATCACAGAATTTGGCGGACATGATTTTTTGACGTTGGTGTCGGATTGCCGAAATTAAAGCTACGTTCAAACAAAATTTCCACAATATCCAACGAACGAATGCTCAACAATCAACAGAATAGCTTCCCCGACACTTGGGGAATATCTGTAGCCTGATAATATATAAGTGAAAGAAAAGTGCTAACTTGCTAAGATTTCCTAAATCTTTGTGGGGCAAGTGACGAACAATTATATGTCCCACTTGTCCAAGAGCAGAGACTAGTTCATTATTGGGATACCGAAATTT